GACTGTGCAAGCAAAAAGAACTCCTCACCAAACTCTGCAACTCGTCCTCCTTGTACCCCTCCACTTGGCCATCATTCTATTTTAGCTTCATATGGGAAGCTTTAAAATATCCAGCGTAGCCAATGCATTCAAAGATGCTCAGTAGCCCAATTCTGGCCCCATTTTGTTGGATTTACCTCCAATGAATGGGTTCCACCTGGGATGCATGCCCATTTTGCCACGTGGCCTTCTCACAAATCACAATGTTTCATACCCACCTTTTTGCTATTTTATTAATTTTAAAAAATAAAAATAAAAAACTACAATGCCATGCTTTAATATTTTTCTAAAAATTTTTAATGGTCCATATCACTAAACAAAATTGTGCAATTATAATATAAAGTAAGGCTGAGCATGAGCTAAATTAGAATGCAAATTATTCATTCATCGATTTAATCATAATGAATACTCAATTAATCATAATGAATACCCATTTGAGTAATGAGTAAATGGGAAATTGATTTTTGAAGTATATCCATTTGAGTTGAAAAATAGAGGTGGAAAAACTTGAAAGAAGCATTTGTTCTACATTGGTTTGGAAAGTCGATTTGCACCATTATATACACAATACCCTTTTAAAAGGAGTTTGAATTGTATAACTTAGAAACTTTCTCTACACTTTCTCTTTTTTAAGGAAAGTATGTACATGTTACATTACTTGACTTGAATTTTTCCTCGTTTTATTGATTTATTCTCCCTAAACTATCTTGGTCCGAGAAGGGATAGCATTTCTATTCTGTATGTCCATAAAATTTTGAAAAATCCAAAAATATCATAGATAGATAAGAATTTCTCAAACGAACTGCAATCCTACATATATGTCGGCTGGAATCATATCCATTAAGGAAAACGGGTTGGGGAAAGTCTGAACCCATGGCCAATTCCTACTCTCCAAATTTAAGAGATATAAGTTAACTCTAAGCTTAGAGATATAAGTTAACGCTAAATTGCCTAATTTACACAAAACGAGAAGTTTAGGATTAATTAGTTCTAATACATTGCATTTACTATTAAATTATATTAAATTAGTAGTGCTTTATTTGACGCCAAGTTAAATAACAGTACATATTTATAGTTATAATAATAATAATTATTATATATGTATATACATATACATATATTAATAGAAAATTTTGAGGATGAGAATTGGGCTAGGCCACCCCTCCAATCCCCCCCCCCCCCCCCCCCATTATAAACATATATTTAATACTTAAAAGATTTCATAGAGTGCAAAACTTTATTATAGTGTACTGAATTTTGTAAATATTAGATACTTAGGTGATTTTTATGCATTTTAATTTTGTAAATGTTAGATAATTAGGTGACTTATTGTATTTGATAGTTGTGATTGATTACACCTTCTTTGAATTCTTTATGATTATTATTATTATTATTAGGAATAAGGGTCAAATAGGCCATCGAACTGCACCTAATAATACAATTAGGCCACTGAACCCAAAAAACCAACAATTGAGTCCCTAAACTAACCAATTCCTAACAATTCATCCAATTTGAAAGTTTCTAACAGGTCAACAACCAAATTAATTATTTTTTTAAAAATAAAATTTAAAAATTAATTATTAAAAAAAAAAAAAAAAAAAAAAAAAAAAAAAAAAAAACAGGCCGGAGACGAAGAAACTTCTTCGTCCCCGGCCAGTTTCTTCGTCTCCACAGCCGGAGACGAAGAATCTGGCCGGGGACGAAGAAGTTTCTTCGTCTCCGGCCGTTTCTTTTTTTTTTTTTTTAATTACTTAAATAATTAATTTTTAAATTTTATTTTTTAAAAAATAATTAATTTGGGAGTATGACCTGTTAACCTGTTGGAAACCTACAAATTGGAAGATTTGTTTGAAATTGGTTAGCTTAGGGACCCGATTGTTGATTTTTTAGGTTCAGTGGCCTAATTGCATTATCTTGTGCAGTTCGATGGCCTATTTGACCCGTATTCCTTATCATTATATTATATATGTTTCAGACTATTATTCTGATTGTTGAATTGCAATTTGGTGCAATTATATATATTGAATGATTAATAGGAGATTTACAAATTTAAAATAATATTTATAAAAATAAAATAAATAACTTTATACACCAGTTCCGATTTCGAACCACCGTATTATAGTTTTTTTTTTAATAATATATACGGAGATTCCCAGTTGGAACCGCGGTATATAATTATTTATTTATTTATTTATTTATAAATACTATATAAGGCGGTTACCAGCTGGAACCGCTGTATATTAGTATTTAAAAAATAACTATATCCTGCAGTTCTCTATTAGAACTGTAATTTTAAAAAAAAAAAATATTATATACAGTGTTTTAAATACCATTGTATATTAAGTAGTCATATAAAATATTTAATACATGGTGGTTCTAAACAATCGCCGTATATAGTATTTATTTACTACGTTAGCCTCCTATACTATATGTCACTTAGTTAATTGATGTATATGTGTAAAACAAAAAACTGAAGTAGTATTTATTTTCTGTAATAGTGCATGCTTTAAAAATTGGTACATATTAGTCTATTTAGTTATCAAAATTATACGCATATATTGTGTTTAGTTGAAAAGGCCAATATTTGGCCAAATCTCGAACATATATAATTATACCTGCAAGAGAAAAGGTGTAATATGTATCTTATCCAAACACTCTACTCCCTTTCCAATAGTCACATGCAAATGGGCATCATCAAGTCCCCAAAGGGTACCTAACATAACTCTTTCGTAAGTCGTAGTACAGAAAGGTAACAAGTTTGATTCTTGCCAATAGCCTCTCAATCGAACCCATCACACAAGGTTTTTCTAGTACAATTTACCTTTGAATTAGATCATTTAATTTGATATTCTACCTATTAATATAGAATTTTAGTTGAAATTGAACACTTCAATTCTATCTTGTTGGAATCTTATTTTGGAGAAAAGTAGTCTAATATTAAAATTTAAGCTTTGAGGTGTAACATGAGTTGAAGTGAATTATCTACATGCATGCATGCCGTGTTTGGTTGTGGGTACGTAGCGATACCAACTGCCTTCAAGATGGAGACTGTACTGTGCAACCAAAAAGAACTACTCACCAAACTCTGCAACTCATGCTCCTTCTACCCTCCACTTGGCCATAACTCATTTTTAGCTTCATCTGGAAACCATAAATAATTATTACCCAATATATTCAAAACAAAAAAATATTAATAGCTAAATATTCCTGGGCCCATATTATTGGATTTGTACCCAATGAATGGGTTCCAGGAATACGAGCCTAATTTGCCTTGCCACGTCGCCCTCTCATTTTGCAATTGTTATAGCATTGATGATATACGATTGATCAGAGTTCATATTGCATTGTAAATCTTAATACAAAAATTCTATACATTTAGTTAACATATTATGTAATTACAGTTAACAGTTTTTATACATATAAACAAATAACTTGATAATTACTGACACATAATATGATAGCTACATGTACATAAATTATCAACTTTAGGTACAGAATATGTCAACTATAGATACAAAATCTGACTTAATAATTGCTGACACATAATTTGATAGCTATAGGTATAAAAATTATCAACTGTAAGTACAGAATGTGTCAACTATAAATACAGAATCTGAAGGTTATTTTTGGACTAAGGCCTACAATGCAAGGTAGACCTTGGTCCATGGTATAATTTGGCCTCATTTTGCAGTCCTTATACCATGCACTGTAGAGTGTAGATCCCGGTGCATGTGTATGTGTCTTGTGTTGTGAGTTTTTGTATCTTGTGTTATGAAATTGTGTACTTTAAGAGTTTGAATTCTGTACCTGAAACAAATTAATAATTGTGTCTTATGTTATGAATTTTTGTGCCTATTAACACAAATTATGTACCTAAATTAGATTTGAAAAATAATTAAATATATAACATGTGTATGTGTCTTGCGTTGTAATTTTTTGCGTCTTGTGTTATGAAATTTTGTACGTTACAAATATAAATTACGTACGTACCTCGTATTTCGATTCAGGGTCCATAATGCTATGTGGACCCTGATCCATGACATAAATTGTTCTCATTTTAAAAATATCAGCAAAAAGCTAAATTTTAAACTTAAATTGTAAATACTAAACATAAGTAGTAAAAAGTGAACCGGCCTTAAACCAAACGTAAAACCAGCACATCTAATAAAACCAAAAAATTAAATCACAAACTCTAAAATCCAAACTCTAAGTGCACTGCACTTTTGCATTGTGCAAGAATCAATTTTTAATACTATAGAGTGCACTTTTTAACAAAATAATGTACATTTTTGAATAATCCTAAGAAATACATTGTATAGTGTTAGCCAAGCACCTTGTGCTCAGATGACATCCTAGTTGGACTCCCATGTAGGAGGTTGTGAGTTTGAGCCTCAGTGGAGGCGTTATTGAATCTTTGTGCTTCAGTAGGTTGAGAAAGTAGCTATGAACATGTACTACATTGTAATAAAATCAGTAGCATTCAAAAAAAATACATTTTTCCGTCCCTAAGTTTTCATTGACATTGCACTTTTTGTTCCTGAGTTATATGCTAAAATTGTAAATTTTGTCCCTAATGTTTTATTAGTAAATTAAAGGGGCAAAAAGTGCAACGTCAATGATAACTTAGGTAAATTTTGTCCCTAATGTTTTATTAGTAAATTAAAGGGGCAAAAAGTGCAACGTCAATGATAACTTAGGAACTAAAAGTGAGTATGACCGACACTTAAAAGGGATTCTACAATTTCCTTATAACTCAGGAACAAAAAATACAATTTTACCTTAAAAAAATTTAGTAGCGGAACCATATAACTTTTCAGATGTAAAACTGGGATTGGTTCTAAATTTTCTTTTGAAAAATTATTCTCTTATATAATCCTCTTCCCCTCTCTCTCTATGTAGTCTGTATATATATATATATATATATACAGTCACGCACACTCACTCACCCTTATCAACAAGCTAGCTAAGTCATTCAATTACTTCAGCCTCCCTCCCTCCCTCCCTCCTCTCCAAGAGAGATTTTGAATACTGAAACAATTCTCATGTCTGATAATCACTTCACTCCTGCAGACATGCAAAGCCTCAAACATCCATTATTCCCTTTGTTCAACATTGATCCCACCATGGAAATCTTGAACCAGTTCCCAGACCTAATAAATCCAACTTTCTTAGAGTTCCCCACCATGAATTTCCAGACCTCATCATCACCTGTGGGATTATTTTCCCCAGATAATTTTCACAGCCCTGAATTCCCTGCACCAAATTCTTCATCTCATCATGCTTTTCAGCTTGCCAATAATTCCCTGCAAGATCATGAGAAAAAGAAACTGCTTCCCCGACCCGATCAGCCTATACTTGAAGCAATAATAAGTAGAAACACTGAACTCCATGAAAGCAGGAAGTGGAAGATCATTGATCAAACCCCAGAGAGCAGTTTGACACATTCTTCCCCTCCAGCTTCTGAGAATGCAACTAAAAGGACACATGTATGTCCAATATAACATTCAAGAATTCCTTCTTTAAGTTCTGTTTTGATGATATATAGTTTCTGATCATGTTTTTACAGTGTGTGGGAAGGCGGAAAAGAAAACGGAGCGGTGAAGATGAAGAAGAGGAAAAGCCAAGAGAAGTGGTACATGTAAGAGCCAAAAGAGGCCAGGCCACTGATAGTCACAGTTTAGCAGAAAGGGTAATTTAAACTTAAATTAATTGGTAAAATTTTAAGCTTGTGGTTGTAAACTTGACATGACCAACAAGGTTGTTTCCTGTCTGGTTCAGGTTAGAAGAGGTAAAATCAATGAAAGACTGAAGTGCCTGCAAGAAATTGTCCCTGGATGCTACAAGGTGGTAACTTATTCAATTTAACCTCACCTCCCATATATGTTTCTAGAGTTAATCTTTTCATAATTATAATAAGTTTGGTTGGCGTGACTAACCGTGCACTCTCATCTCTTAAGATTAAGAGGGGTCGGGAATTCAAATTCCCTCTCTTATCTCTTATGGAAAAATCAATCTGGCCAACACTTTGCCCTTAATTGAGCTAGCCAGCCAGTTGCCTCTTACAGTTAGGACCTGTTCAGGACACCTAATGGCTTGACCAAAAAAATATTCTCTAATAATTATCCAAATAAAATTTTTTCAGGCAATGGGCATGGCAGTGATGTTGGATGAAATTATTAATTATGTGCAGTCATTACAAAACCAGGTTGAGGTAAGCTCAGATAATTAATGAAAAACTGTGATCATATATCATAATATTAATCTTAGGATTCATTACTTATAGTTCTTTCTATACTGTATGTTGTTTCAGTTTCTTTCTTTGAAGCTTGCTGCGGCAAGTACCTACCATGACTTCAACTCTGAAACAGACAACAGAGGAACAATGCAGGTATTATAATTATTTGAGACTCCCTGGCCTGCAACTTAATTTTGGATATACCTATTAGGATCAAGCGTTCACCATTACGCCAAAAGTTATAGTTAGTAGTCGCCACAAGGTGCTGGACTTGGCCCTTATTGGCCTCCGCCCAATAATCCCCTTCCAGCACCAGCCAAGCTTAATTGCTCTTGCTAGGACTTCCCCTCTTAGCACCAGATTGTCTTAATTGTTCATGCTAGGACTCCCGTGACCTGACTTTGATATCACTTGTTATGATTAAGTGCTTACCATGTACTATGCCAAAAGCTATAGCTAGTAGTAAAGGCATAACTTTATTCTCATTTACCATCACACATTTTCAAGAGCCAGGATGCTGGACTTGACCCTTTACTGACCTCCGCCCAACAATCCTCCTAACCACATGATGCTGGATTTGGCCCTTACTGACCTCTGTCCAACAATACCTTTTGTCCCTGCAGCTTGCTTTGCATGCACATTCAAAAATTTCACATTTTGTTTTTTGTTTGTAAATTTCAGAGAGCAAAAGGATATGAGGGACTGAAAATGCAGAAGCCAGTGAGGGAAGGGTGTGAAGGGGTATCAGCTTCCACCCAATTTTTACCTCTTCACCACAACTATGGCTGCGGCTACCCTTCTTTGCCACACAGTACCTAAGAATTCTCTTCTTTCTCCCTTTTTGCCCCTTGTGATTTTCAATCAAATATGTCTGTATACATGTAAACTCAGAAACCCAATATACAAAAAAATGAGAATTTAACCAATTATTATTAGCAACACATATGTAGAGATCAAAGCTCTTCTGTTGATAAAATATTGAGATAACTTTTGTGTTCTTGATGGGTTATGTCAAGAGTGTGATGGATGATTGGTTTATTGTATGTGTTGCTTCTGTCATGAAGATATGATCAATGGAGCTGAGGTGATTAGATGTTTAGCTTCCATGTGCCTAAATGCCAATTGAGTAATGGCCAAAATTTTTTTCTCTTGACTTTTGACACATGAATGTGGACATCCACATGTTAGATATCCATGTAGTCTAACGTTATTTGAATGAAGTCTATGAGAAACCTAAACTCGTAGTAGTGGAAGCGGAAGCGATGTCGATCTTCAGTCATATATAGTTACGTTGATGTCTTTTAAGTTGTGTTGCTTTTTAAACGGTAGCGTTAGCCCAACTTTAGATGGTGTATTGAGATTATTCTGGGTAGCTAGCATGAGTACCATGACCTGTATGTGCTATGTCAGTTTGACTAATAACTTCTAGTTATTCAGTTTAATCAAACTACTTAATAAGTCCTTTAAAAAAAAAAAAAAAACTACTTAATAAGCCTAGTCAACTTACACCAAGCTTTATTATAACATATACTATACGCGAAATTCTTACCCCACAATCCAAACTAAACCTCACTGTTCCATTTGACTTCTTCTCCGATTCCTTGCAGATAAATTAAGCTTAGCTTCTAGTAGTACTAACTTTTGAAACAATTCTGATCTGTGAAATTGTATCAGTAAAGTATGTTGTGCATATCTTCTTTTGTATCATCAGTCTGTCCATTGAGTAACAACAAAATCTGATCTTGTTTTGTGTTACTATATATATATATGCCTGTCATGTTTGGCCACAATGCAAGGACCCAACCAATAGTTCTCTAATTGTTTGTTTTCCTACATAAGGCATCTTTGTATGTAGGTATAGTAGTTGCCACTTTAATTCTAACTCATCATCCCACCCAAGATTTAACTTTAATGAAAAGCTACATCAATCCTAAACTTCTAATGAATATTTTGTTAGTTCTAATATAATATTTTTTTAGTAGTATTAACTCTATTAGAAGGTTGTATCTGTTCTATCTAGTGCAGTCCAAAGAATCAATATCCCACCACCAGGTTCGATCCTCTAATCTTCCCGGCCTTAAGAAGAGCCACAAGGTGCTTGGCTAGTTCTAATATAATATACGGAGCAAAATGTTTAATTTAATTGTGATAAATAATTATAAAAATACAATATTCGTCATGTTTGGTAAAATAGTTAGCCTATCAGCTAATTTTAGCTTATATGATCATTATTAGTTGTTTGACTTGGTTAAACAATCAATATGAGTATTTGATTAATTAGCTTTTGTTAACAACTTATTGCTCCAAAATGCTGGAATTTAAAAAGCTGTTCAAAGTAACTTTTTCGATCAACTTTTTGAGAAAGTCATTTTGTATGTAATCAACTAGCAGCTAATAGCTAGCTAATTTACCAAACACATTTCTAAAATCAACTAAGTCAAACCCACTAATACAATCAACTAATTTAACATCATTTACCAAATACCTCAAAAATTATCTACCCACGTTAAGTAGTTAAGTCAATGACTTTGTACGTAGACAAATGGTATACGACTATTACTTCAGATAAGATAAAAGATCATAAGATAGATCTCGCTCAGAAATTTTAAATATTAATTAATCTTTTCTTTTTTCAAATACTGCCTACTTAGTCAGTAAATTGGACTGCGCAAGCATTTTAAATATTAATCAGACTATATGATTGGAATTGTTGAATATAATCCACTTCGAGCATAGTACAAATGGAATCAAATTCAATCTCACTATCCTATTAGAGCTATTATGTAATGATTAGATGAAGCAATCAGCTAAATTAATTAGTGACCAGGCACAATGAATATCTTCCAAGTACATTGGGGGAGGGGGGATTCATATCCAAATTGCTTGAAAATTTGTAGGAAATAAATGTTTAATTTTTTTTTTCACACGTTACAAAGTTAAGAATGTTTTATTTTGAGACAACCCCAGTTAAACTGGTCGAGTTTGACTTTTAATGGCGGCGGTCTATTGACATATTATATCTCGCCACTTGATTTTTTAGATGAAACATGATCCATAAGACTAGGTTTTAATAATATTGTGTGTCAATTCAAGGAACAAGAAAATGTGTTTAACAGTTGAGAAATCCACGTCGGCCAATCCCTGGGTGGAACCCAAAACTTAAATGGATACCCAAAATTTAATATAATGGATGTTGGATGTTGCCAATTCAATTTGTTGAATGATTGAGTGGAGTTTCCTAACTTTTATTGTTGGAGAAAATGACATACAAAAAACAAATGCAATTACACACATATATATATATATATATATATATATATATATATATATATATATATATATATGTTCAAGTGCGGCGGTATCTTACGGTGCGGCGTCATCAATAGTTTCACAAATATACACCATCAACCCGTAAGATACCGCCGCACTTGAACATATATATATCAACTCCTACATTTTTAGCTCTCAAAATCTCTGCTCTTCTTCCTTTTTAGCCAACCGTTATCATCCCTTGCTCTAGTTCGCTAGGTTCTTTTGTTTGAATGCTCAAACATAGAACTGTAGTACATTTTATCTTGGGAAACCAAGGTCACAACCCTGCTAACACATTTGGAGGTAGCAAATAAGATTTTAAAGAGAGAGAGCTCAATTCGTACTAACAACCTACCCTTAAAGGCTTTCGCTTTTGTTCTTGTTATTTTTTCAGAAATATTATTTTCGTAGTAATATTTCGTAACATTTAAATCAAATAATTGAACAACTCATTGAATTATATGAGGTCGTATTCATGCTCGGGTTATTTCCCATTTGATATTAATGGGACTTGCATTCAGACTCAATGATGTTTTATTTAATTAATTTGTGATGAAAATAATATGTTTGGTTAGAAAATAGACTTTTCATTTTGGTGCAAATAAATCTTTGACAAAATGGCATTTTTCATATTCGTTTGTTTGTACAAAATGATTTTAGTCGCTAACTTGTTGACGTGAGCATTATTAACCTTTCAAATTTTTAAAAAATAATTGTTTTAGTCCCTTTGTTCACTATGCTACTTTGGATAATTTTAGTTTTTTTTTTCCACCAAATTTAATAGTTTAGAATGGAAAATTACAACTTTGTCTTTATATTGAGTAATATGGATCGATTCCACATGTGCAACACAAAATTGAAGAACTTTAATGGTTCTGTTTGTTATTAGAGCAACTACAATAGTGATTTTTTGAGGAGGCAATGCTTATATGGAGGAGAGAGGGAAATGAGAGATAATAAGAGTATCCTCAAAAGTTGTAGTTTTTGAAAAAATAATTACAAGTGTAACTAGCAAATAGAAGATTGGAGAGAATAAAAGGAAAAAGGGAAAGAAAAAAAAAAAAAAAAAAAAAAAAGCAAAACAAATCTGGAAATTTTTTTAAGAAAAACTTCATCTTAGCGTGCCCGCCTGAGCGCTAGGGTTGCGCCGCACATAACAAAATGCGACCAATATTTACACATGGTGGGTCCACTTCACAAGCTAAAAATAAATCAGTTCCTTGCAGAGAGAGCTGAATTCTTCTCTCTCCTCCACATAAGTATTTTCACCTCAAAAACCTACCCAAAAACTACTATTGTGGTTGCCCTAACCATAACCAGAACCAAAACCTTATAAAAAAATAAATGGTCCATAATTGATCAACTACTGAAATTGCTATTTCCTATAAATATAGGGACGAAGAACATTGTTATTCCTTATTTTATTGTTCATGTTGATAATATTCACCAGATATTGTGTGTGTAGCATGACATCTTTTCTCAATATTTTTATGCTTAGATGGAAATAAATTAAAATAGAGAAAAGGTGGACGTAGACAGGTGCAGTGCATCCAAGAGTTGAACAGTGAAGACAGCTTGAATGGGCCAAAGGATGATGGGCAATGGTGGGATCTCCAGATTTATACAAAATGATAGAGTTAATGTACCTACAAGCCTGCTTTTGTTTCTCCATCCCACTCAATCTTTCACTTGGATCCCTTTTGACTCAAGTTTCGCCATTGTCTTTGGAGTATGCATGCACAATTAAGGAGAGAATGAAAGAAGAGGGGCCCACATATTGGATAGAGTATATTCACCCATTGGAGATCATATTATTCTTCCAAAAGGTTGGACCAACCCGACATAACATTTGGGAGGATTTTAAATCATGGTAACTCAACTAAACATGAACCACCTCACTTTTAGAGGTTGCTCCCACACTATGGGAGGTGAGACTCAATCCTCGGTCATTCTTTCAAACTTTCACTTCTATGACCAGTTGAGCTGCTCATGCGGGTAGAATATATGGGCATGTGTAGAAACTTAAGGACTAATAAGACAACTCACGATTTACCTCATTTAATCCGTTTTTGTACTGAGACTTTAATTTGGAGACTTAAGATTAGTCTGACTTAAGTTAAAATACCCAATATAATTTTTTTTTTTTTTTTTTATAATTATATCTGCTGATGGTGGTACGTGGTGAAGAAAGTTGGGTGAGAGAGGTGGCAAAAAGGATCCAAAATTGGGCAAATTCAAGGATCATAATACCTATAGTTTTCATTACCAAAGAGTGGAGACAGGTTGTTAGTTGGTCATCAAATCTCACTTGATTCTCACTACTATTACTTTTGTGGGCAAATAAAGAAAAGTACTATACCATATCCTTTATATTTTATTGATGATGATGATTTCCACACCGAAGGTATAACTTTAACGTAACTTCATAATTTAATTTAATTCTTATATAGTATACTAGTGATAATTCGTGCATTGTGTGATTAAATAAATAACTAATGAAAAAAAAATAATAAAATTGTAAGTAGATAGAGTAATAAAAATAATCAATACACTAGAAATGATGAATAATGTAAATCGATAAAAAAAATTTAAGCATGCAAGAATGTAATTACAATGTAAAACTTATTATATTTATGTGTGTGTATGTGCGTGTGTGCGTGTGTATGTGCGTGTGTGCGTGTGTATGTGCGTGTGTGTGCGCGCGCGTGCGTGCGTGCGTGTGATAAATATAAAAAACGTGTGTTGAAGCCCTATGGAAGAAAAAATTATGTTGATTTATAAAAAAAAAAACGTGTGTTGAAGTCATATGGAAGAAAAAATTATGTTGATGTCAAAGGATTTGAACCCCTAACTTTTATTATTATAACAAAAGATGTGTTCTGCCAACTAATTCAACTTATTTTTTGTTAATTTTCAAGAGTTTTTTATACTAATTTCAGGGCCGTCTCTGGGCAAGTCTGCCCAGGGCCGGCGCACAGGGCCCCCAAAATTTGGGGGCCCCTTATTTAAAAAAAAAAATAAAAAATTATAGTAGTATATATGTATCGCAGCCCCTGCGGCATTCGAACAAATTAAAGCAAGTAGCAACAATTCTGACAAACTCAAACGAACCCTACCCTAAGGCCTAAATCCCAAATTTAGCGGCAGCTGCTAGATTAAGTAAATTACTCCGTATTTATTTATAGAGTCTAATTTCAATTGTATTGTTTGGTGTTTGATTTTTTTTCTTTCTTTGCTGTAGTATTTTTTTTTTTTTTTTGGGAAAGGATTTGCTGTAGTATTTAATTATTTAAATATTTAATTTGATTGTTTATTTGTATTCTTTGTTGTTTGAGGTCTCCTAGGCAACACAATTTAATGAATTGACGCAAAGACGACAGACTCAGATTGTGTGCTACTGATTCTTCAATTCTCTTTTTATCATACAAACTCTCAAGTTCTTTAATTTTCTTGACAGGTAATTAAAATTACGTATTGTTTCATAATTCTTGTTTATTGTTTTATTTACATGATTTAATAATTCTGATTTCAGAATAATATATTTAAGAATTCGTTTCTTGATTAATTAATTATTGATAGAGTTTCTAAATAAACTTTTATTTTTTCCTTAGGATTTTATGTCTTCTAGAAAATATTCATATGAGTTTGAGAAGTTAAGCGTAAAAAGAAAAGATGAATTGATTAGATGCCAAGAAAAAATTGTTAGATGCTAATCTTCATATAAAAGATCAAGATGATTGTGAGATTGGAAAAAAATTAAATGATAGTGTGCAAAACAACGATGATAGGTATCACTGTGACAATGAAAATAACAAGAATGTTGATAGTTGTTTAGATGATGTTGGTCACAATGATAAATCAAATGATTTGCTTTTATTTGACATATATGATCCAAGAAATTGGGATGTCCTTAGCTTGATTCTAAATTAATAGATATTCTTGTGAAAGATGGTCCTAAAAGAGATTTATCAATAAATAAAGGTCCTAAAGATAAATTCTCTAGAAGATTTTCATCTGCATTTTACACAAGATATTTGCCAAATGGAGAGAAGTGTGATCGAGATTGGCTTGTATATTCAAAAAAACTTGACAAGGTGTTTTGTTTTTAGGGACTTCACACATCTTGGTATTAGACTTAAAGAACATGAAACTAGTATAGATCATATAACTAATATGACAATTTGGATGGAGTTGCGTCTTAGATTGAAAAAGGGGCCCAAATAAAAATATTGCACAGGACCCCAATTTTTATTGGAACAGCCCTGACTAATTTAATATTAAAACATATACTATATATACATATATACATACAAAAGTTATATATGAGGTGGGGGTATGAGTGAGGGTGAAGGTGGTGGAGAGAGGGTAGCTACCCTGCCCCTTTTAGCTCCGTCCCTGCATACATACATTCACCACCATTTGCTCTTTATATATGTAGCAGTCTTCCGTAGGTGCAATGCACGTAAAAACATACACAATCGTCCAATGTTAAAATTATATATATATATATATATATATATATATATATATATATATATATATATATATATATATATGTATGTTTAAGTTCCAGTGCAGATGAATGCTTCCCGTGCGATTGTACGGGTGATTAATGAGCGCAGGGACGGAGGTAAGTGTATGTTTAGGTGGGTCTTGGCCCCCTCCCCCACCCCAAAATTTTTTAATATTATATATGTATTAAATTTTTTTTAAAAAAATATTATATAGAATTTTAAAATTTTGTTGTTTTTTCAAAATATTTGCCCCCCACCCCCCCCCCCCCCCCCACCCACTTAATTAATCTTACAGGTAAAGTTATAAATTTTTTCATCTTCTCAACTTTTTCAGTTTTCTCCTATTTCAAATTATGTATTCCATATATTGTTGACTCACATTCAAATTAAATTTCATTTAACCTACTTACTAGTTTCTCTGCCTAGAACCATGCATATATGCGGCATATACGTTATAATAAGATAATTTGTCATTAACAAAATCTATGCATATTTGTCAAGTTAATTTTTATTTTTTATTTTTATTTATAACTACTTGTTTGGTTAATTTTTGTTTCATATTCTATTGTTTATCTTAAATAATTGTTTTGTTTGATTCTAAATCATGGATATCAAGTGCATTTGTTTGATTAATTATGTAAATTTGTAGTTGTGTGATAAATTTTGTATTTAATTTAAAATGCATAATAATGTAACAATTGTGTAGTATATGTATTTGAGAAAACAATTGCTATTATGTTATGTTGTGAAGAGGGTTTTTCAAGAAATAATCAATAGACTTTTAAAACATGCGTGAATGTTTTTATTTTTTCAACCGTACAATGCAAAGTAATGTGCATTGAAAAGCATATTGCAAAATAATTTAATATAGATTCAATTATAAATAATTTATTCTAAACTTTATTGAATTTGTAATGTAATGATTATTTTGAGATATGTTAACGGGATATCAATGTATTTAATTTAGTACTTCAATCGTAGTTTGGCCCCCCGCATTGTTCCGTCCTGGCTCCATCACTGAATGAGCGTGAGTTGTGTACTTAATGTGCGTGAGTCTTGTGCTTGAGGTGCGTGAGGTTTGTGCTTAATGTGTGTGTGTGTAGTGCTTAATGTGCGTGAGTTTTGTACTTAAGGTGCGTGAGTCTTGTGCCTAAGGTGCGTGTGAATTGTGTGTTTAATGTGCGTGACTGTATACTTAATGTGAGTTGTTGTTGAAACTTTAAAGTGCATGAGTTTTGTGCTTAATGTGCGTGAGTTTTGTGCTCAAGGTGCGCGAGTCTTGTGCTTAAAGTGCGTGAGTTTTGTACTTAATGTGCGTGAGTGTGTACTTACTGTGAGTTGTTGTTAAAACTTAAGGTGCGTGTGTTTTTGTACTTAATGTGCGTGAATTTTGTGCTTAAGGTGCGTGACGGTTGTGCTTAAGATGCGTGGGTTTTGTGCTTAAGGTGCATGAGTTTGTGTTCTGAATGTATTTTGTTTGTGTGTTTAATATGTGGTCTGTTGTGTACTTAAATGCGTCAGTGTAATGTTTAATGTGAGTCCACCCGCACAATCGCACGGGAAGCACCACCTGGGAAGCACCACCTGCACCTGATCCCTTCCCTATATATATATATATATATATATATATATATATATATATATATATATATATATATATATATATATATATATATATATATAAGTTTGCTCAAATGCAGCTGCCCCTTCCCGTGTGGTCGGTGCGACCGCTTGAAAAATGCACCAATAGTATTAACAAAAGGCACCAATAGTGTTAAAAAAATGTAAAACAATAAAATGCATAAATACACCAAAAAACGTACAACACACCCAAAATAATGCACCATAACTCCATACACCTAATTGTGCATTTCTGAACACTATGTGATGCTTTTATGCATATCTAATTGTGCGCTTTTTGGTGATGCGTACCTAATTGTACATATTTGTGTTCTGCATTTCTAACATTGTTGGTGTATATTTGCATAACTATTAGTGCGGCCGCACAGACCGCATGCTAAGGCATGGTCATGAATGTCGCGTACAGGTGAAACGTGCGGTGAAATCTTTGTTATAGATCAACTCATTCTTTAAAAAACATTCGCCACATATGCAATCTATAACAATGTGCACTGGAAGGCACAATAATGTGCTCTGAAAGGCATAACAATATGCACTGCTTCCACAATAATATGCAACGACTATTGAAAAGATTAAATTTAATACATGATTTTCAACACAATTAATAAACGATCACAATATTCAACTAAAATTAGTAGTTAGTGATTCATTTAAAAAAAAAAAAAAAAATCTCCTATTTGGACCCTTGATCTGAACTCAATCTATAGATATAATTAAACTCTATTTTTCACCGAAGGCAATTGTTTCACATGATATTATATAAGAGATCAGATGTGGTGATTCTCGTAGGTGAAAAATGAGGTTAAATCTCAACCATTGATTTTGTCTAGATCAAGTGTCCAGAATAAAGAATTAAAAAAAAAAGTTGTGGTATTTTGGTCATTTTGTGTAAGTCAGTTCAGATTTTTTTTCTTTTTTGGGTGCATTATTTTCCTTCTTGGAATGCTTATGGTTTCTTCTTCGTGTGCATATTATTCCTTCTTCGATTGCATAGTTTCTCTACTAATGTATATTTACTTTATTAGCTTCTCAGAAGATGGGTGCATTATTTTCCTTTTTTTTTTTTTGAGTTCATATTGTTCCTTCTTTGAATGCATAATTTCTATTCGAGTGCATGTTCACTTTTATTAGATTCTCAAAAGATGAGTGCATTATTTCCCTTTTTCAAGTGCATCATTTTCCTTCTTCACGTGCATATCATAAAATATAAGGTGCATAACTTTAGACCATTGGGTGCATAACTTTGCACCGTTGGGTGCATAGAGTTTTGCCTCTTAGTGTGTGTAACGTTAACTTTTTATGGGCATAACTCTGAACCTTCAAGTGCATAACTTTAAACATTGAGATCCATAACATTGGTTGATCTTTTAAATTGTTAATTCCAATTAGTTGATTCTATTAAAGCCTGATTAATGTTTTTGGTTGTGAATTCAGTGTGCAAATTATTTCATTTAAGTATTAGTAATTGTTGAATGTGATTTTCTGATTGCGATTTGAAGAATTATATTATTTCAAGAAGTTTTAAGATCTTCTTTTAATAAAAATGGAAAAAAAAATTTATTGAAAATTTGAAATTAAAGATTTCTATAAACATTAAGGTGATCAGCATATACCACATTAATAAATATTCAGATAATCAGTTTGGTTGGTGTTAATGGCTGTGTACTCTTGTCTTTTAATAGAAGTCAGGAGTTCAACTCCCTCTATAAGTACACGGTCACTCACGCCAACTAATTTGGGTTACATTAATATTCCTCTATAATCACGAAACAACAAAGGCATATTTTATAATCTTCTCCTTATTCTTTTCTTGAAGTTGAGTCACAACTTGTATCAATCAAAAAGAAAGAATTGTCTATCCCTATACATGATAAAGCACATGTGTGCAGTGCAAATTTTTTTTTTTTTTTTTTTGCTATTGTAAAAAAGTTATTATAGAAAGCTCGATAATAATTAATAATAAAATCTACTCAAAAAATGGTTATTCCTCTTGATTCCTGCAAAAAAAGTTAACTCATTCATAAAAATAACTTTGCCATATCTTTTTGACACTACCCTAAATTAAGCATCACTAAAGATTTTCATTAAGGAAACATATCATTGATTTTACAAAATTTAAAATAAACCAAATAATAAAATTTAGCTAATTTTAAATAATCTTATACAATTTTATCTAATTTCACAAGGGATATTTGCATTTTTAGTTCTTGAATTATGCAAGACTAGTCGATTTAATTTGGCCCCTTATAATTGGTGTTTGTAAAATTAGTCCTCCATTCTTGAAGGCAAATTATGTTGTGTATTCGTATGCACCATGCAACGGATGCAAAAACGACGTCGTTTTGACTAAAAACTCGCGTTCAACTTTTATAAAAAAAAAAAAAAAATCAGTTTCGATTCCCGTCAACAACATTATGTTGTGCATAATTTCTGAATGTATAGTTATGAAATTATGGATGATAGTTATGCAATTCTGGATTTATAGTTATGAAATTATAGATGCGTAGTTATGGAATTATGGATGTGTAGGTATGCAATTCTGAATGTATAGTTATGAAGTTATGCAATTCTGGATTTATAGTTATGAAGTTATGGATGTGTAGTTATGCAATTT